AAGACAAGAGATTACCACTCAAGAGGAAGAGTCATATGAAATGCAAGAGACTACCCCTCAAGAGGAAGACCAAGAAACAACCACTGAAACAGAAGAGAACACTATAAGGACAAGAAGAGTTAAGAGAAAACCTGCTTATCTTCAAGACTACATAGTTGATGAGAGCGATTAGCTGTTCTTTTAGTTTGTTTTGTTTGAATGTATTATCATCTTTTGAATGTTAGGTGTAACGTTTTCTAGTTTTTTTTGTGTTATAAATGTTTGTTTTATATAGGGATTGGCGAGGGCGCCTTTTAGTCAGGATAGGACGAATGATATAAGTAAGTTAGGGCTAGTAGGGAAATAAAGAAGAAGAAGAATAAGATCAGAATAGAAAAGAGAAGAAGAGGAAAAAAAAGAACCTAGATTAGTGAGTAGGGAAGCGATGGAAAAACCGGGAAAAGTGTGAACTCTCGTACCCTGTACATTTTTAATTCAATATACTTGTTCATAGTTTTAATGGAGAGTATTATTGCCCACAAATAATAAACCTGATATAGGGGTTTATAACATAATACTGCACGAAATTTGGTGACCATTCAGACATTTAACTTTCCTATAGATACTTATTTGCACCGAAAATACTTTCAGAAGTCTCGACCAATCTCGACTATCATTATATTCAATAGCAATGCCATCCAGACAAAATTAGGCAAGCTCACCATATCCATCATTATTTGTCGTAAACTTCAAGGTTTGACGACAATTTTTTACCGAAACTTGTTGTCTATAGAACGGCAATGCTAGAATTAGGAATTGCGGTGATCTGTTTTTTTATTCAATTTCTCTTTTGCACTTCTATGCTTTCATAGATTCAATATTTTGATATCATGTTATTTTCTCTTTGAGAAATGTCGATCTGAAAATGAAGCCAACACCCCTATACAGTCCTGCCTGCTATATCGTTTGAAATTCGAATTGTTCACTGTGGTTTTCGACTTCATTTGAGAACACTCCAGTTGCTCCTAGAGTCACTGGATGTTATTAGTTTGATAAGAGTTCGGACACAGAAATGACAACGGTTAGGGTTTTTGAGTGTTTAGATTTATTAAGTTTCACACCTTGCATTGTGACAAGAGCACCATAGTCGTCCTGCGCTTTTTCATTAAAAATTGTTTGAATTTGACAACTACATTTTATAAACGTCAGAATTGAAATAAAATTTCATAATTATACATTCGAGATGAAAGCAGCTATGGAAATTACTTGCTGTGTAATAAATTGTGCCAATTCTGAAGAAAATGGATATCATTTATTCAATTTTCCGAAACAAATATCAACCATTCGCTTATGGAAGGAAGATATGAAATGGCCCGATGGGTGCAAAATCAATTTGAAGACGAGCGAAATTTGTGAGGTACTCATTAAAATTCACTTTTTATAACAGCATCTGATTAGAATGAAACTATATTTTAGGCCCATCTTCAAACAGAAGATTTCAAATTCTGTTTGTGAGAATCTGCTGTTCCGTCAATTTACAAAGCAGGCGATTTCGAGAACAAATTTCCATTATTATCATCACACAAAATACAAAACGAAATGATCATGGAAAAGAGGAAATGATCGCAAAATTACATAATGAAATTGAGAATTTGAAAACGAAACTAAGAAAAGCAAGTAAACTACAGAGTGATATATTATTGAATGGCGTTTTTGGTGCCGACCAAATTTAAAATTCAACAGTGGACAGTGAATAGTTATTTATGTACCTATCAAGGGAATTATTATAAGGGCCTTAATTACGCTGGAGGATAATGTTTTGGAGATATTTTCTATATCGATCCATGTTACTTATTAGCTCCTAGGGCGCTAAGTGGAGTTGCTGAGAACTTTACAAAACCAAGTATTTGGTAGGTCTCGTCAAAATAAACTACTTTTTTCCTATCAAATGTTTAATCGAAAAATGATTTGTTCTTTGTATTTCAGCACTCTGTATCTACGAAATGATGCATTTCCGGACACAAAAGCTTATATAGACTTTATTTCTTAAAATTGTCTCAGGAATACTTCACTTGAAAGTACTTTTCTTACTTCCTGTATATTGAGAATATCTATCTATCATGTTTTATACTCATCACTGGAGTACAGTTTCACATATAATAAGGAATTATAGCTATAAAAGTTCATCCATATGTGTATATTTTCTAATATTAAAATGTTGTTACATGCATTCTTTTCATTTATATAACAGTTGTTCTGTTAGAAGTGTATATAAATTGAATTGGGTGTTTGTACCCTATACCCATTGTCCATCTACGGCTATGATTGATTTGACAGAAAATATAACCTCTAAAATCGTATCTGACAATCAGGCACTACTAGGGAAATTGAAAAGACAAAGAGCCGAATATATGTCTTATTCTTTTATTCACCTAAACCATTGTATTATAGAAAATAGAAAAGGACAAAAGTTCAGCTGTGTCCGAACTCTTATCAAACTAATACAATCTAGTGACTCTAGTTGCTCCGTTGTTTATAGTTCGTTTGTGATCCGTTTCCGTTTTTCTCTTCTACTTCTGTTATTTTTTGTCGTTATCAGGGTGCCTGCAGACAGCTGTCGCTTACTATATCGGCTTCCAACATCATAACGTAATATAAGGAAGGTAAATATCCTTTCTACATGGAAAATGAGACTAGTTCTTCTGATTAATTTGACCTCACTCGGCCTGAATGAGCTTTCGAGAAAATATATCATTCTGGAAATGACTGAAAACTTAGGAGAACGAAAGAGTCTACTTCTTCTGATCAATCTAACCTAAAGCGGCGTTCACAACCAAACTTTTTACGTTTTGCTTTTTACGTTTCGTATTCTGATTGGTGAAGCAGAATCTGAAATTAAACGTGAACTAAACCTATGCAAATGTCATTCAGAACAACAAAAAATCAACGTGACTTTTTATGGCTCAGTTGCCTTGGTTTTGTAATTCGTTTTTCATCCTGAAATGAATTAAATAATCATAACAATAATATTGATCATGTAATTAATAATATTCATAGAACTGGCGGTGAAGAAAATTGATCCTAATTCAAAACTTGAAGAGAAAAATCAATCTACAACAAGAAAATAATGAGTTAAACAGTATACCTATCTACTATTCTGTGGATTAGTGTGAATTCACAAAAAAATCATGAAAACATTATCATAACTTCCATATTATTACAGAATCTTCCATATTATTCGTCTATTTTTACTATTTCCACAGACGATGGCTTCTTACAACGCAAAAAGCTGAATATTTTTAGCTTTTTGCGTCATTTCAATTTCAGATCTTGTTTCACCAATCAGAATTCGAATCGTAAAAAGCAAAACGTAAAAAGTTTGGTTGTGAACGCCGCTTAAGTCTACAAGGTGACTACTTATTCGAAGCAATCTAACCTGACTCGGCCTAAATGAACCTTCCACATAGAGAATACCCTCAGCTGCAGCCGTGTTATGCTCACGCTGAGCTCACTGTTCCACGGACTTGCTTTATCATTAATATTTGTAGAAATGATTTGATTCAGGGCCAGGTAGCCGTGCGGACAGAGTGTCCATATTCTAATCTGCATTCGCTTGCCGATCGTGGGTTCGAGTCCCGTCGACTGCAGAAATTTTTCTGATGGTCCAAGAAAGTGTTTGGGATCACACGTTAAAAGGTAAGGCCCCCGTCATTCCTTGCTCGCACAAGACTCTCGAAGACTTCTGAGGGTTGCTCGTAAGGGGGCAACCGAATGACGGATAGAACAATTTTAGAACAACAATTTTTTAGAATGGTGACAGAATATTGGATGTAGTGTGCGGCAGCTGTCTGCAGGCACTCGTGTGATCATGGCTGTTGTTGTTTCTTCTGTAATTTCTTCTCATTATTTTCTTGTCTGTTCATTGTATGGCGTCTCAGGTTATTTAGTAATTGTTTCGCTCATCAACCGAGGTGACCGATGCTTTCACCGCCAGTACCAACAATTTTGACAAAATAGTTTTCTACTGGTGACCATGGTTGTGACTTATTAACGGAATGCCAGTCATTTGTCATATCATATTTTGAATTTGATTTTCAATCATGGCACTCAAAACTCAAAAGTCCCTGATTCTTGTGCCTAGTAAGCAAAAACAAAGGATGTAGTCAGTAGTGTAGTAGAATAGAATATATCGAATATTATTATTATACCTCCTTGAACGAATCCCTCGGAACTGAACGCGACAATTGAAATGGTAATACCGTTCTATGATAAAATGAGTAAATCGAAGAAACAAACCAAAAACTAATACAAGTTAACGTCAACGAACTTACCAGAAAAATCCACGGTCGCTGTGGTGACAGTAAATCTACCGCTTTTTCAGCAACCGAGTTACGTAAATGAATCTTCCTTCAGGAACCAATCCAACATTTCATGTTCACGGAATGAAAAACTACTAACAGAATTAGCCAAGTTGATTTACGGAAAAATACCGTAGTTGCATTATTATTCATCAATTTGATATTTCTTGATCATTGGTGAATTTTCATTGAATCTATGAATCACTATTGGCCACATTCAATGATATTACCCTTCCTCTGAGATGCTTATTCCTCATTTACTGCCACCGAACACAATGAAGCCGACAACCAGAGCCAACAATCATGACTCTTTCCTGGTCCGAGACGCTTTTGTCAACTGTCTTTGTCTGTCCCCAGTCCTGTCGTCTGTCTCTTCACTCTCACTGTCAATAGTGTCAATTGTCTAATTTCTTTTCTAGATTATTTTGATTGAAGTCCTTTTGTAGGTGCGTTTATATTTTGATAATATTTGTTAATTTATCGTTTTCTGAACCATCGATGAGTGCTTTTGAAATTCCTGAATGTTATCTTGCATAAAATTATTCGTGAAATCCCTACGACAAAATATTTTCCTTCTAAATTGATTATTTTGAATGGAGTAGTGTTTGAGGTTAGAAGGTATGTTTATTCATCTGTGATTTTTATTTCTAGGTGTCCATCAACATGGGAGCCTACAAATACATTCAGGAACTATACCGCAAGAAACAGAGCGACGTACTTAGGTTCTTGCTTAGAATTAGGGTATGGCAATATAGGCAGTTGACCAAACTTCACAGGGCTCCCAGGTCCACTCGGCCTGATAAAGCCCGTCGGTTGGGCTACAGGGCTAAACAAGGTAGAGGGAATTAATCATACATGATTTTCTTTGATGTTGCCACAGTGATGTTTGAAGAATGTGAATATTGCTACTTCCATTAATTAACCCCTGTTCTTGATTATCTTCTGACTGTTTTATCTTTGTTTCAGGTTTTGTAATCTTCCGAATTCGTGTTCGCCGTGGAGGTCGTAAACGCCCTGTTCCAAAAGGTACCACATATGGTAAGCCAAAGAACCATGGTGTGAATGAGCTCAAACCAGTAAGGAATTTGCAAGCCATTGCTGAGGTAAGTTTATGAATTGGTTGTTGTTTTCCTATGCATGTTTTGAATCTAAATTGAGCAATGAATTTATTGAGTGATTTTGGAAGTTTCTGTTATAAAACTCTCCATACAAACCTTTTTCACATAGAAGTCAAGGAACATTTGACTCTGTTGAAGATTTTGTTTGGGATTGGCAATAGGTATACTAACCTATTCTAGCAGGGTGAGTTGATGTGTAAATAAAAAATAAACAAGCAGGTCCATTTTCTTGAAGGGTAATTCATTCCATCAAATACCCTACAAATTCTGGTGTACCTACCTCAAGGTTCAAACTTGTATCTCCTCCTATTTCTATTATTTCTCAATGGTATCTTTTATCATCAGATAGGTATCAAATCACTCATGACCTACTAAGAATTGAATTTAATTTTTTAAAATTGAATTTGATGATAATTATATTGAAAAAAAAATTGTTCACAAACTGATGATCTATAAAATTATCTGTGAATACTTATCTGAAACTGTGTGTCCCAAGATTGCTAAAAAAAATTTGGTACTTTATATTCATAGAATTCCTTCACCAATAGATAGAATTTGCCCTTCTTGTCAACAAATTGTTACAATTATTGTTCACTACTGTATATATATTAATAAATTTCATTGTTTCTTTGACAATTCTCAGAAATTACCTTCATAAATTACTTATTCTTACCCATACCTATCTAACCACTGATATTATTTTACATTGTGAATATAATCAACAATATGAATTCAATGTATTATTATTTGTTCTCAGCAGCATACATATTATTGATCAAATTAAATTGATATATTATTCTTGAGTTAATGGGATCTATATATTGAGAACCAAGAGTAGCATGAAGGATCCAACAAATATATTTTTTTGTGACAGGGAAAAAGTCTTTCATCTCAGTTGACAGGTTACAAAATGTCACTCAATAAATTACTTTTATCCCACAGGAAAAAAGTAAGTGCTTCTTTCCTGGGTATATAGGTGCACTGGTTGATGGCTTTTGTTGGGCCAGTTCCGAAAAATAAGCCAATAACACTCATCTCCCAGAAATAACTACAAGTCCTTTCTTTCATTCCACTATTACTAAACAACCACCAAGTTCACAATTTTTTACAATCAAAACAGAATTAGACTGATATAATTATATTTTTTCTTTATAATAGAAACTACTATTTGAAATAAGTAAAACTTCTATTTGAAATATAACTTCTATTTGAGCTCTGGATGACCCATTTGATTTTGGGTCTCCTGGTAAATAAATATCAATAATACAGATAAATAATATTATTCACCAACAAACAGAGATGAAATTATTTATATACATAATAATATCAACACCTTTTCTTGAATAATTCAAGTATTCCAGGGGACACAGCAGATACTTGATTACTTCAAATGAATGATAAAGTTGCCTTCAAAAAGATGTATGCAATATGCAATGCAGGTGTAATTCCTGTTGAACACTTCAAATTTCACATCAATAATTTTCTGATTTTAATATAATGTAATATCTTCTCAATATTGATTCCACCTTTTTTCCTGTCACAGAAAAAAGTAGTGTATTACAGTGCAGACACGATAATCCGAACGTTCAATAATCCGAATTCTTCAGTAGTCCTAACAAGCATTTTTAATACATTGAGTACTCTATAATCCGAATTTCATAGTACTCGATAATCCGGACTTATACCTTTAGGCCTATTTATTTCCTATAGAAATTGTGAGTGAAATGTTTTGGGATTCCCCTAATTGTTTTTTTGTTAGTATCTGTGATTCACATTATACAAGAAGGAAAATAATATTCCATTGAATGATATTCTTGTACTTCAAAGATTAAAAGAAATGGCCTTTATAAATAATCAAAGATGTGCTAAGCAAACAAAAATTACAAATTACTTCAGAAACTAGTATTATATTCTTACTGTTATGCATATTTTAGTGTTACTTTTTCGTATTTATGTTTTTTTTTGCATTTCTTAATAAAAAATTAAAAAAAAACGCTTCGGTAATCCGAATTTTTTGGTAATCCGAATCGCCTTGGTTTTTATTAGTTCGGATTATCGAGTCTGCAGTGTATATACCTGGAAACATATTAGATTTCAGCTCACGGTTTTTTGACTCCCTCTGCTATGCTCCAGGAGAAAACACAACCTGGAGCTAAACTCTACTACTTTTTTCCCTTGTATAATGAATAACTATTTCCTTATTTTGAACCTTCCAGTTTTTACCAAGGTGACATCATCTTCGTTATCTTCAATGGGACACAATGTATTTTTCATTTTTAAATTTCTTTCATGAATCTGATTTTAATTCTTGCATCATACCCTAAACCCAAAATGAACTCTTTTGTAGTTATTTGAGTTTTTATAGAAAAAGTGATGAATGCAGCCTACTGAACATGCCATTTTCATGCAAATTTTTAGTGACATGTAGTGATTACATTAGGTGCGTTCGGTTTAACAAAATCGGAGCCGAGCGAGCAGATGCAGATTTCGTGTCACGTGATCACCTAGCTGATAGAGCTAAAGATTTTTAACGAACGCTCAACGAGGTAGTAGATTGAGAGCGCCAGCTGTTAAAAGTAACAGAAAACAGGAACAATTCACTTAACCTTATTACTTTTAAAAACACGTTGGGGCAACAAAGTTCATTTGAATGTTTGTTGTTCATCATTTGGATTTATATTTTGAAAATTACTAGGGAAGGAATGATTCTGTCTCATATGATCGGACATTAACTGTGGATCAGGGCAGCTGTGATCGCATATATTACAGATATATAATATGCTACCTACAGCAAATTTGTCGGTCATTCTGGCGATTCTGGGCAAGGAGGATTCCTGTTTCGTTTCTAGTTGATCAAGTTTTTAATTTTACAACACAAAAGTGATATATAATTTCAATAACATGTTGTTGACATTGATTTGTTGACAACTGACAACCGAATAACGGATCAAATCTAAATGATCTGCTCCTCAAGGCGGAGCAAACAGATAACATCTTTCAGCTCGCTCTGACAATTAACGAACTCGGAGCAGATTTGACAGAGGAGGTAGATCTGATTTATCGAACGCTTTCCGAGCTAACAGATGGAATCGAGCTAACAGATATGTTATAACCGAACGCACCTATTATGATCATTGAAGGTTGAACATTCAACCCACCATAATCCAAACCACTGAATAATTCACAGGGTCTGCAAACATTGAAAATCTCAATTTCTCTTCTCATGAGTCAGTCGATTTTTAGGTGCTTGAATCATCAATAATGCCATGGTAATTTTCATGATTTCTTAAGTAGGGGCAGACCATAGCACAGTAGTTGTCATGTGTTGAAATACTGTTGGGAACTTCAGAAATATTAGTTATTCAATAAGTCATGAAATCTCAATTGAGTATTGGTATTATTCCTAATGAGCAATAAAATTTCAATTATCTCAAAATGTTCCCCCAAAATTGGTGGCTTATTGCCTAAAATAAATCATTGTGAATGATAACTATATTAATTCACACTAGAGGACATTTGAATCGGTGATCGTGACAGCCCCGCGCATGACTTGTGGGCGTGTTCTTGTCAGTTCTCAGCATTCAGCACAATGTTGCCAAGTCTCCAACATTCACATATTCTGTTATGGAGAATAAGAAAATAAGAAGGGCGACCTTGCTTCATGAGTGGAGATGAAAGGGCGGCCATGAAGTTACATTTGAAATGACCTCTGAAGTTCAACGATTTTGAACAACACTTAGACTTATTATTTACATTAAAAAAGCGCCAGAAATGATGCTAAAATCGATTCAGGTTCCTAACAATACAGTGGAGTAAATGAATGCCAATAATGTCGAAAACGCTATGCCAACGAACATATTCATACATTGCTCCAAAGCTATATAATTCAATTCCAGATAAAATCAAAAACATTACCAGGGTTCCACTTTTCAAGAATCATTATTTTGTAAAACCTTCTTCTCCACTTCACTTCATTCCTATAATATTTTTCATTACACTTTATAATATAGTACTTTACATTTCATAATTATTCAATCGGAAATGTATTATATCACAGATTATTCCACGCTAATGATGATTATCACCTGTAAAATATTAATTACTATACAATGTGATGCAAATGTATCATACAAAAATACTTTCGCACAAATATAATTCAAATTCTAATATATTTTCATTGTCAATTTCATATTATTTAAGGCATGTATTATTTAAGGTCCTTATCATATTTTTTTTTTCTTCTTCATCTCGAAACAAATGTTCATTCATTTATCGAGTATGTTCATTTATTCATAAATAATTTCTTTATCATTACTACCTTATGTACTAAATAGAGATTCGATTTGAATAAATGATATTATTATTATTATTATTATTATTATTATTATAATTATTATTATCATTATTTATTATCAGTCCACTCGCCCATTCTATTATAAAAGTGAGGCCCGATTCACATTAACTTTCCCATTCCTGAAACCCATAATTTCGGAGATATTCCATAAGTTGAACCTTATTCTGCCTAATAACTGCCTGAAATTTTGGTTATCTGGTACACAGGGTTTTTTTCAATCTTGAGTCGGCTCTTTTGCTAACTTGGTCATTTATTATTGGAGCTACATAGTCTGTTGAATGGACAAACTAGTAGTATTTTTTCCGCTGTTTATGATGATGAAATCGAAAACAAAAATCGCGTTCAGGAGTAAATATAATCATTTTTTTTTAAATGGGACATTCAGTATACAATATTCTCAATCAATAGGATATTTGATTCTTAAGAAGAAAAGTCCTTTAAACTTTTATCCTGAATTTTAAAATGACAGCTATCGACGATATCTTTTTATTTTTATGCCAACAGGTACTTTCTTCTTGAAAACTGACCCATAACCTTTCATCGTAAATTCTAAAATGACTGAACTATCGATGATTTTTCGCCAAAGTAATTGTGTATAGCGGCGTTCACAACCAAACTCTCTGCTCATTCTGATTGGTGACCTAAATTCTGGAACTAAAATGACGCAAAAATCCGAAAATACACAGCTTTTTGCATCCCACTGGTACTGGTACTGGTACTGGTGGGGGACGTTTCCACGTCAGCAACTAGTCCCCAATGGGACCTTTTTGCCAACCCCAAGTGTTTTCAATGACTGATGTGGTTCGCTCAAGAGAGCTGGCTAACATCCTTTTCAGGCACCGCCCATCAGCTCTCTTTTTGCATCCCAAGATGCCATCGTCTGTGAAAATGGTAAAATAGACAAATTATATTGTCATTAAAAAGGAAAATACTACTGTAAGTTGTATGGATGGAACATTCTATATGGAAGTTATGATGATGTTTTTGCTCAGGATTTTTTTGTGAATCCAGGGAATAGGGCATACTGTTCAATTTTTATTTTCTTCTTGAGGATTGCTTTTTATCTTCAAGTATTGAATATGGATCAATTCATGTCACCGCCAGTTCTATGGATATTATTGATTATCTAATCAATATTATTGTTATGATTATTTCACTTCATTATAGGATGAAGCACAAATGACAAAACCAAGGCAACTGAGAAAGGCGTAAGAAACACATTGTTTTGTTTTGTTGGGAATGCCATTTGCATAAGTTCAATTCACGCTCAATTTCAGATTTTCCTTCACCAAACAGAATACGAACTGTAATAAGCAAAACATAAAAAGTTTGGTTGTGAACGCCGCTTTAGTCGAGGATGATCAAGAAGTATTACTTTGTAACTTGCCTTGCTACAAAGTGAAAAGAAATCGTCGATATCTCAATAGTTTTTGAATTTAGGATAAATGTTTATAGGACTGCTCTTGTTCAGAATCGAATATCCTATCGATTGAGGATAGTGTATACCTGGTGTCCCATTGAAAAAATACTTTGATATAACTTGTGAACGCGATGTACAATTTATTTTTCCCAAATTAGTCCAAAATTGCTCAGTTTCTGAGATACAGGGTGGTAAGTTTTAAAAATATAAATCAACAAGTATACTGGGTGGCTGGAATTCGAGCCTCATCATTGGGATCTCGTAAACCGTAAGAGATACAGGGTCGGTTGAATTATGTCAAAGTTGCGCAATTTAATACCTAATATAATGCCGTTTTCAAATTTGTAAAATTCCTAATACTTCCGAAGATTTTTTTGAAAAAACCCAATAATCCAGATATCATTTTTATTTATTTATGACTCTATTTGAATAGATGTGACAAAACAAACTACACATTCTGATTGCTTCTTTTTCTGTTTTACAAGATGGTGTTCTCAGTTTTTTAAACCGACGTATCGCTTTCGAGCTCCCATCATCAATTTAGTATGTTTTAACCCATATCCACTGAGGTGGATTATTTTCCTTTAACTACTGAGGGGAAGTCATACAGACTCTGACTAACAAATGAGGTTGATTGAGGTATGGAAATTGAAATAATTGCAATCTAAGTACTGCACTAGTAGAATTGATGTTTTTGCAATTATCACCATTAAAAAAAAATCATGAAAGTATAATGATAATGTTTATCCACAGATACATTATCAGAAAATACATATTTCACTTTTCAGACCATTTCTGACCTTGAAACGGAAAACTGAATTGTATAAAGCATGAGTATGGTAATTCCGGTTGAACAAAACTAAAAACGTAAAAAGTATGAAGACAATTTTTGAAGAAAAAATTCGTGCAGGTGGTTCTATCTCCCTTTGTTCCACACATGTTGCATATATTTATCTGGAACATCCAAGACAAATTGGCTTCCTGCAGTGGGTGCATACGTATTTTGATATGCTGTGGAACCAGGATAGACAGAGGAAGCAGTACCGTTTATTTTCAAAGCTATTTCCTCATTAGGAACGAGAATAGCTAGTTTCAGTTAGATCATTTTCATTATCATGTTTTTATCCTATGAAATTGTTAATTTTACACGTTGACTGCCATGAGGTACGGGGTGTGTGTCTCACCTAAATGTGCGGTTTGTGCACCGAGGCACACGTGCTGTTATCCTTTTAATCAGTGAGGTACCGCGTACGGCTCTCAAACGTCTATTATTATTATGAGTATTAATCAAGCACGGCACAGTAGGCAAAACGCGAGAAAAAGATCTCGAAAATTATTTTTGGTTTGAATTTTTTTTGTCACAATTATGTATTATGGGTTAAAATTTCTTGAACAAGCCTACAGATTTTTGTCATTGGAAATTATGGATACACTATTGCGTAAAAGCGCGTAAAAGAGTAGCTTATAATAAAATGAAGTGATTTGCAATATGATGTGGGATATTAGACGTGAAAAATTATCGAAAAAATTCGTATGGATTTTTGTCAAAGTGGTTCCACTAAATAGGGATTTATTCCTACTTTAGGTACCGTGAAATCGAAAGTTCTCGAATGTGATGATGCTGTAATTGGTCCCTACTCTACTTTCTCGTCTTCTGAGCTGGTCGACAGAATTTCAGCGATGGCTTGATTCAAAACTTTCTCTATGATATGGTTTCTTGGTTTTCAACGTCGGACTCGTCTGTAAAAAAAAACCTTGAGATAACCATGTACCTACTGACGGTTGTTTTCGAAACTTACCGGAGGCGTCGATGGACTCATTCTCATAAACAGTTCTAGTAAAGTTGGAACACGGCGGAGCTTCTGAATTTAGAATAGGTGCATGTTGCGAAAGACACAAATCTGAAGAAGAAATTACAATTAGTAAAACATTTCGGCAATTCCACAAAATCTATTAGTTTGCAATGATAAAATGAAATAAAATGGAAAAATTACGTAACTGCTAACTGAGGTGGAGTCTGTGAGTCTCCTGATCCACTTCAACTGCTGAAAACAATTTATATGATTACAGTATGCGGCTGCCCTTACGTACACGCCTAGACTGACCCAAGGTCAGAAGGCACTAGAGGCGGTGGAGTGAGGAATTCAATAATGAGGGTAGTGTCAAGAGTTGAAGGTGTAGTGGAGTCTGAGAAAAATTTATATTAATTGCGTTCCTCATAGAAACTCGAAAGTGTTAGAGTGGCATAAAATATACAATATAAAATTAACGACCCTCTTAGGCCTTATTTAATATTTGTATTATGAGCATACTATCTTTTGTGATTTTTTTTTTCGACCAGTGATGCAAAACTGATAATTTTTAGGTATACATTTTCTTTTTGAATATCACTTAACCGATTTTAATGAAATTCCAGAAGGATGTAGGTGACCATAAGAAACCCCTTGTTATTTGCAACAAAAGGTATGGCATGCCATTAATAGTTATTTATTATACAAGGGAAAAAAGTAGTAGATTTTAGCTCCAGGTTGTGTTGTCTCCCGACGCGTAGCGGAGGGAGACAAAAAACCGTGAGCTAAAATCTAATATTTTTCCCGTGTATAATACACCATTTTTTTCTGTGACAGAAGAAAGGACGAATCAATATTGAGAAGATATTACATTATCTTGAAATCTGAAAATTATCGACGTGAAATTTCAAGTTTTTAACAGTAGGGACACCTGCGTTTTATAGGCATCTTTATCATTCTTTTGAAGTAATCAAATATCTGATGTCACTTCTGTCAGTTCAATTCTGTGATTTGATTTCAAAAAATTGCGAATTCAGTAGTAGTTTAGTAATATACGAAACCGCGAAGTCGAATGGAAGATAAAAGGACTTGCAGTTCTTTCTCGGAGACGGTATTATTGACTCATTTTTCGGAACTATAGCACAACAGAAGCCATTCACAGAGTATATATATATGTGATATATATCCGGGAAAGAAGTACTCACTTTTTTCCCACGGGAAAAAAGTAATTTATGAAAAGTGACATTTTATAACCTGCCAACAGAGATGAAATGCCAAACTTTTTTCCCGTCACAGAAAAAAAAAATATATCATTATGATGTCAAACTTTTTTGGGACACCTAATCACAAATATTTTGACAAAGAACAACATATGACTGCTTTGACGTTTTCAATATCCTGACAAGTTTTTGAGGTATTGAGTGTTGGATATTTGTAAGTGACTTGGTCATGGATTGTTAATTTTTGTTCATTGTTTCAGGAACGTGTAGGCAGAAGGTGTGGAGGTTTGAGAGTCCTCAACTCATATTGGGTAGCCCAGGACTCTTCCTACAAATACTTCGAAGTTATTTTGGTTGACCCCGCACACAATGTAAGTAGTTTTCTGACAGTCCTTATTTATGACGCAAGTTTTGGAAGTGCCTTGAACACACATTCCCCACTTGTATCACATCTGGTCACATTATTGAGTATATTTTTCAATCAGAATTTTGGTGGCCAGATACTCTGTCTCACCCGGAATGTCGAACTCTTAGGGTTTGAAATATTTGTATTTATTTCAATGTCATCCTGTTTACAGAATGATTCGTGTATGAGAAAAACGTAATCGGTATTTTTTAATGGCAAACACATTTTACGGGAGCACTGAAGTTAAAACGGACATGTTTACAAACCCTATGTGTGATATATTCTTGAATCCAGCTTCCCATGAATATTCCAAAAGTTGAATATTATATTGGGTGTTCCATTAAAAAAAATGGCACGGCCGTCATAGCTCTAACATAATCATCCTGTTTATCTGATTTTCCCTTATAAAAGTGGCGAATGAGGGCTAAGATATTAACTCTTCAGTTGGCGCTACTAAAACATGAGGTCAATATCAAAGTCAAAAATTCCAAAATTTTGCCGGATAGCCCTAAAGCTATGGCCTGTTTCATCGAAAATATTCGAAAAAAATTATATATAGTAATTGAACAAACAAAAAACCTCAAGCTACCGAAAGACGTGAGCCTCTTACGTTTTTTTTACTCTCAATATGGATCTTTACAACTAATTCTTACATTGTCGGAGAAGAAGATATAGCGAAAGGCCAAATGACACGAGGATAAGAAGTATATTCAAAAGTTCTACAACCCTCTGACCTCATTTTTCGGTGGCACGGTTTGGTGGACAATAAATAATGTTAGTTCTCATTGAGAATGAAAATCGATCAAGAAATCAATAGTTTGGCTAAAATAGAATGTATTCTTCATTTACAAGAGAACATAATTTAAAGGACACTGTGTACAAACCCTATATGTGTGATATACAGGGTGGGCCACCAGTAACGCCTCGGTCTCTAGAAGGCTAACCACTTATCTTCTTGGAATTCTTCCTCTCTAGGAAGTTGCATGTCAACATAGGCTACCATTTGAAATTATTTTGAAACATACAGGATGTCCCCAAAAATCACAAAACACTGGAGTTGAACTTTTTTCAATCGAACACCCTATATATTATTTCATTTTGAGATTCTCCCTGGTGAGCTGATTTCAACAATCCATCATACTTGGGGTCTAGCAGTTATAATTACTGAGATATAGGGTGTGAAAAATCGAGATTTTCCAAGTTCAAGAATTTTTTGTGTCGAAACTATTCATAATTGGTCAAAACGGCTTACATGTCCCTATCTCAACTTTTGATCAACTATCTACTGACATTTAATTGAAACAAATACAGGGTGGTGCAGAATTCAGAATCTTGATCACCCGGTATATGTCCCAATTAAATATCAGTAGATAGTTAATCAAAAGTTGAGATAGGGACATGAAAACCGTTTTGACCAATTATGAATAGTTTCGACACAAAAAATTCTTGAACTTGGAAAATCTCGATTTTTCACACCCTATATTTCAGTAATTATAACTGCTAGACCCCAAGTATGATGGGTCATTGAAATCAGCTCATCAGGGAGAATCTCAAAATGACATAATATATAGGGTGTTCGATAGAAAAAAGTTTAACTTCAGTGTTTTATGGTTTTCGGGGACACCCTGTATGTTTCGAAATAATTTTAAATGGTAGCCTATGTTGACATGCAACTTCCTAGAGAGGAAGAAGCCCAAGAAGATAAGTGGTTTGCCTTCTAGAGACCGAGGCGTTACTGGTGGCCCACCCTGTATATTTGAATTCAGCTACTCATGACTATTCCCCAAATAATGAATGATATATTGAGTGTTCAATTTGAAGCAATTGTCGCGGACGTCTTTAATTAAACGTAGATCACACTGTAAATTTAATTTTTTCTTGTAAAAGTTGCAATTTAGGAATGAAAATGGACTTGTCTGAAAATTCCTCAGAAGTGGATAGTTTGACAGAAATGGAATTTATTCAGTACGTTATGAAAGTACTGTATAAAAATGGTTGTATCCTAAAAAAAAAAAGTTTCTTGAAATCCTTAACTAATTTGCTTTTGAAGTGGATTACAAAGGTGCTAATATTTTCTATGTTCTGTATCAACACACATTCATTATTTTTTTACTCCTTTTTAGTTTGACTATCTATACAAGTGTCTTTCTATAGTTTTTTCAACTACTATTTATTATACATTAGTAGAATTGTCATTATCATGTCGACTTTCAGGCCATCCGCCGCGACCCGAAAATCAACTGGATAGTCAACGCAGTCCACAAGCACCGCGAACTCAGAGGCAAGACCTCGCTGGGCAAGTCTTCTCGAGGCTTGGGCAAGGGCCACAGGTACTCGCAGACGAAGGGCGGATCGAGAAGGGCCGCCTGGCTGAGAAGGAACTCGCTGCAATTGCGCAGGAAGCGATAGAATTTGTATTTTTGGTAAAGATTAAAACCTGTAAGGAGAGTTTTTGTCGTTTCAATTGTCCTGCTACCTGTTTTGGATCGGAAATTACAACATTACATTTGAAACTTTCAGTTATGTTACTGAAAGTTTCACATTAATATCATATTTTTCAATAGTTCTACCATTAGAATATTCCATCATTTTGTCTGAAAATGTTTATAATTACATTTGAAACATTCAGTAATGTTACTGAAAAGTAAACGAATATTATGAAATTTCTTCGTTTTTTTTTATAAATAGGTGAGTCCAGCATTTTCCATTTGAAATTTTCATTACATCTGTAACTTTGAATGGTGATTCAGAAAGCTTTGCGGTGAAAGTGAAAGTTCCATATTGATTTCACTAGTTTGAATATCCCTGTTACCTATTTTAAATGTTTCGTAATTAAAATGAGTTCATTAGGTAGATAAGTTGCCTTGCATTTTCAAATCGAAAATTTAAACTTTACATTTGAAACATTCAGTAATGTTACTGAAACTTCACATGAATATCATGACGTTTCCCTGTTTCATTACATTACATCTGAAACTTTGAGTAATGTTTAAACTGACATGAAAAAGAAAAGGGAGTGAGGAATTTTGTATCCAGTGAAATTAGTGAGTGGGTCGTGAGAAATCCTGAAAGGTAAGAGAATTCACCAAATGAAGAGGACTTTAACATTTGAAACTTTCAATAATGTTACTGAAAGTTTCACATTAATATCATATTTTTCAATTGTTCTACCAATAGAAGAATCGATCATTTTGTTTGAAAATGTTTATCCTTACATTAGAAACTTTCAGTAATGTTACTGGAATTTTCACATAAATATATTTTTCAATTGTCCTACAAATGGAAGAGTCCATCATTTTGTTTGAAAATATTCATCCTTACATTAGAAACTTTCAGTAATGTTACTGGAATTTTCACATAAATATATTTTTCAGTTGTCCTACAAATGGAAAATTCCATCATTTTGTTTGAAAATTTTCTGCATTACATTTGAAACTTTCAGTTGTGTTACTGAAAAGTTGATATTATGACATTTCTTTGTTTTTTTATAAATAGGTGAGTCCAGCATTTTCCATTTGAAATTTTCATTACATTTGTAACTTTGAATTATGTTTCAGAAAGCATTGCGGTAAACTGAGAGTTCTATTTTAATTTCACTAGTTTGAATATTCCTGTTATGTACCTATTTAAAATGTTTCCTAATTAAAATGAGTTAATTGGCTAGATGGGTTGCGTTGCATTTTTCGAATCGAAAATTTCAACTTCACATTTGAAACATTCAGTAATGTTACTGAATTTTACATGAATATCATGACGTTTTTCGGTTTCATGAATGGATAAGTTTCATTTTTCATTTGAAATTTTCAGCATTGCATCTGAAACTTTGAGTAATGTTAAAACTGATAATAAATCCTGTGTGGAGAGTTTTTATCGTTTTAATAGTCCTGCTACCTTGTTTTGAATCGAAAATTACATTACATTTGAAACTTTCAGTACTGAAAGGTTCACATTAATATCATTTTTCTACAAACGTCAAAACATGACAAGGTTCGCGCATTGACAACAAATTGCGAAGTGACCCTTTTTTTCAGTTTCTTACGTTACAATGATACCTTGCACAAAACAATGCGCGAAGTAAAACAGTGCGCGAAGTACCTACTTCGCGCACTGTTATGTAAAATATATGAGATATTTATATTTCAACTTAATGGTCCACAATCGAGCAATCATCCACGAAATCATTTATTACTGAATGTTCAATAAATAACTTCGTTTTATCTCTTGGAGCGCACGAAAGGAAATTCCTATTATGTTCGTGAGTTCGTGGAACTTCGTGCGTACCTAGGGAGGATCGGGGGAGGTCTAAAGTATGTTCAACACTCTTTTTTATATCAAGCTGAGCATATTACAACTTTAGAACAATATTTTTTGAGGTTTGTAGAAAAAATGTTGTTTGCAACTCGAGCGCGAAATACTTTGGTCATCTCGACTATTTTTTTAACTCGGCTACGCCTCGTTAAAAAAATCAGATCTCGATCACCAAAGTAGCATTTCGCGCTCTAGATACAAAAATAACTATTTTTCAATTGTTCTACCAATAGAATAGTCCATCATTCTGTTTGAAAATGTTTATCATTACATTTGAAACTTTCGGTAATGTTACTGAAAAGTAAATGAATATTATGACATTTCCTCGTTTTTTTTATAAATAGGTGAGTCCAGCATTTTCCATTTGAAATTTTCATCACATCTGTAACTTTGAATGGTGTTTCAGAAAGCTTGGCGGTAAACTGAAAGTTTTATATTAATTTCACTAGTTTGAATATTCCTGTTACCTATTCTAAATATTTTGTAATCAAAAGGAGTTCATTAGCTAGATAAGTTGCTTTGTATTTTCAAATCGAAAATCTAAATTTCACATGTGAAACATTCAGTAATGTTACTGAAACTTCACATGAATTCATGAATACCATGGCGTTCCTCAGTTTCATAAACCCATACAGCACATGACATCCATTGGACGTCCATTTTAGGTTCATTTCAGTTCCAAACGTCCATGGACATCGAATGGACATCCAATGTACGTACAAACATGGATTATCATTGGATGCTTCAAATTCTATGTACAGTGGGCGTCCACTCAATGTCCAACCACGCATGTACGTAAAATGAACATTCATTGTACTTATTAAGATGGATGTACAATGTATGTTTCAAAATTACCGTCCGTTGGACATCCATTTTATGTCAACTCAAGGGCTAAAACTCTCGTGGACGTTTGATCAACATCCATTGTACGTACAGAGACGGACGTACCTTGGATGATTCGAATTAAACTTACATTGGATGTCCATTTAACGGCCATTCTGAGTTCAAGCGTTAATGGATGAAGAATGAACATTATATTTATATGTATATAAATAATTGTTCAAAGTAAATGTCTGTATGAAATCATTTTGAATCTGGAGGTTTATGGACGTTAAATGAACGTACATTGTTCGTTCAGAGATGGACGTAAGACTATTGATTTTTCAGCCACCTCGAGGGGAGGCACAAGGTCAGATCGGTCGGTAGAGTAGCGGTAGCGTCTGGCGTGATTCTGATGCCATTTTCAGTTGTTAAATGACCGTGAACATGAAGTGTTGTGTTTGTGATGAATTGTGGAATGCAGAATATTCAGGACCAGATCATTCAAAGTAGGTATGAAAGCATGCATGTTCGAATGTGACTTCATATATTATCTAATATAGTTATAATCTCATGCTTTATCATCCTACAGGTTGTTATTCATTTTCAATGGGCGGTTTGATAGAAAAAGTACCTGAGTATATAGCAATAATGTGAATAGGGCTTCATTCACCAGTCAGAGTTGAGCTGAACAGGATATGGGGTATAGACAATGGATTATTACCTATAAAGCAACATATAATATTTCTCTTTTACTACAGGAACAAGAATTAGAAATGGACTGAAGAAGACATGAATCAACAGTATATTTATATATATATGCAATCGACACCAAATATATATCTCAATAGATAAAGCAATATTTTATACCTACTGATTTTTCATCATTTGATTTCCAAAGATGAGCATCCATTATACACCCACATGTAGACATCCAATGTACGTCCGAAGTGGTGTCCTCAAGACATCCAATGAACTTCCATTGGACGTATAACGTCCAATTTGGTACGTCCAATGGATGCTCAGACATGTACATCCATTGTGAGTCCAAATATGAACATCCACTGTACATCCACATGAAGACATCCACAGTACGTCCAAAGTGGTGTCATCAGGACATCCAGTGGACGTCCATACCCAGCAAACATCGAAAGGCGGTAGAAAGCCGGGCCCATGGCGAGAACGGCGGGCAAATGTCGATGTCGGCATGCCTCGAAAGGCCCTCCAAATAATTTCGAAGGATTATGTGACGAAGGCAGAATGTACACATACTTATTATAGGCCTCTGTTTCCCAGTCGCTAGTTTTCCGCTGTATGTATCCAAGTCAAAGGGCCATCAAAATTTCAACGGAGTGTGCCATCATCACTCACTCAACGTTGGCATCCCTCGCTCGCGTGAATTTTTATTTTGATCATTTTGCAGTGGTAACAATGATTCAGTATGGCGTATATTGATTTCTTTGTTTATGTTGTCTCAACACTCTCAAAAGAGATTTTAGTACTGTGTTCAGTTATGGTTCAGTTCGTGTTTGGTTTTCTTGTGGATTTTTATACAAAATAGAAGGGAATTGAAATAAATACAGAGTGAGTGAGGAACAAACATGTATACAAACTTGCACAGCTAAAAAATTCTATTTCAGATAATAATTTAACAAACACCATTGGACAAACAGATGCAATAATAGTTTGGACGTGTTCAGCGGATACACAAGAATATAATAATTGAGGACTTTGAAGATGCATGAGCTTTCATTACATATGAATCAAAACGAAAATCAAAGATAGCTACTTGGAGAAACAGTTATATTTCAATACTGTAGGTATGTATAAGGTTGCATGTTTTGGATTAGTAGAGAATGAAATCATTCAATCTTTCAGCTACAAAATCAACAACCAGAAGCCCATCAATTACAGATATCAATGGAGAAAGCACACAATGATCCAGACTATATGATATGAATTGTTTCATGGTATATGATATCTCACTTCCAGGCAACACTCATATCAATATGATGAAGAGTAAGGTTCTCCATATCTGGAAATTGTTTTCTTGTAGATTGAACTTCATTGTTGACAATAACTTGATCAATATAATAACTGATTACCTACATACCTTTCAAGTTATTAGGTAGGTACATAGGTGATGTAATTTTTGACCTAGAGTTAGCAACTTTTTGAAACAATGAGGATACAGAGTGATATGTAGAACTAGAATTAAGATGTTTGATGTTTCCATAGTTGTGATATGTATTGGTTGTGATCATGGCAATAATATACACACA